CTATATATACATAGTATCAATGCAATACATTTCCAAAGGGTTTCTATAGTTTTATTGTATCAACTATCAACTTCTTTCCTGAGCGGTTCTTTTTTTTTCTTTTTTTTTTCTAATCTTTTTAGGGTTTCTTGTCGCTTTCCTCTTGCGGGTTCCATCACCACTGTGTTAGAAAATAAATACTTTAGTAATGTTACGATCTGGTAATTGAATTGGATAAAATGATAGAATTTGCAGAACCAAAAGAAAAAAAAAACAAAAAAAAAAGAAGAGGGAGAAAAGAAAAATGAGTTCATAGTTATCGAATCAAAAGGGAAATCGTAAATCATTATCGTAGTATGTAATAAGAGGTTGAATTTCTAGCCGTTGTGTATTTGAGTTCATATATTTCCAATCTATAACGTAGATAATCCTTGAGGCTGATTAGGACCCTTTTTGAGGAGTGAAAGTGTCAACGTACTACCGTTCCATCTAAGTCAAATATTAATAATTGATTTTGCTTTTTAAACAAATACATATTTCATTATTAAACCCTTAGTGATGCACTCAAGATGCATCTTCTGCGCACCACCGAGGTTTAGTCGTCTCATAAGATAATGTAACCATACACACAATAAATGGAAAATCTCAAGATGTGAAAGATTGCACATTCATGGTTGACTAACATATGTAAGGTAAAAGCATATTAGTAAATTCAATGGCAAAAATAGACTTTTGATGCTTTAGCGAGGATATAGATAAGTGGTTTGTGTAATTTAAATTTGTGTCCTACAAATAAACCGGAAAAATTACAGTAAAACATCTAGAAAATAATACTGTTAGGATCCTAAAAAATTATTAATTTATCGATAAATTAACAATTATTTAATAAATGTTTAGATACATTGAAACTATCGTCACTAAAATTTTTGACTTAGTATAAAAATGATGATGATTCAATGTTTTCAAAACCAATTACATGAAATGGAGCACTTAATGGACAATAACTTTTCAAAATGTTTTATTGCAATATGAAAAATCTACACCATAGTTTTTAGAAGCAATCAAAAATGAATTCTCTTTAGATGTAAATTTTACGAAAAATACATATGTTATTAGATTCATGTTTTACAAATCTTAATTTTTTTAATATATATTTTAAGTCATTATTCGTTTATGATATTGACGGGATCTATATTTACATAAAAGCTTTCAAAAATTTATTATCTTATTATTTCATCAATTATTTTTGTTTTTTATACTGGTCTCAATTTGAGACCGGAGAAAATCATTGTCCAGTTCAAAATTTTATTTTTAATTGAATTGTCTTTATTTGTCTAAAAAAAATTAGTCTACAATGAATTTCGATATTCATACTAGGTCATTTTGACTTTTGAGTATTGAGATTTTGGGACATAATAGTGCTGAAAATTATAATCAAAATTAGCGTTCGGGCCATTCATTTTTTAAAAAAAGAATTATAATCAAAATTAGACAATTATTTAGAAAAAAAAAAAAAAGAAAGTGCATCCGTTAATCGATAGGCAAAAATCCCGGCATGCGTCGACAATTGATCACTCCTGCCGGGAACCTGAAAGCATTGGGCGGTTTGCTATGTTCAATGAACTTCCGCAGTAAATAAATAATTTGTCTCTATTTGCTCTCTCTTTCTAATTAAAATGATAATCTCTGCCCATAATTATCATACATAAGAGATTTTGATAATTTAATAGTATGTATTAGCTCCTAGGTCCTGCCTAACAATATGCAATCTGAACTTATAGAAATCAAATGTTCAACTTGAGGAGATGCAAAAATAAGGTTATATTACTCAATTAATGGCGAACGGGTTGGACAGAAAGATTAATACTCCTTCCGTCTCATAATTATTGTCCAGTTTAAGTTTTCATTTCTTGTTCAAATTGTACTAAAAGTGAAATCTCAAACTAGATTATAATTGCGGAACATAGGAAGTATGTAATAATTATATAAGGGTCGGGATTACTGTTAATTATTTTTATTTCTGGTTAAAAAATAAAATAAAAGAAGAAGTCGCTCCTACGACTGGAGACAAGAGAAATAAAAACCTTAATAGCTAGTGTTGTTACTTTTTTTTTTTTTTAATTAGGTGTGAACTAATTATAATTGTAATCTTATTAAGTGAGAGTAAACGCCTACCATGAGAATTCAACAACAACGAACGTACACAAAAAGGAAAAAAGAAAAAAGGACTCTGAAATTGCAGTTAAGGCATCTCGCAGGTGTAGTGTGGTGGAGGTCTGGAGGATATCATTCATTTCAGCTGATCCATACCTAATCCGGGAATGCCAGCTAAACTGGGGAACAATTTGCAAAACGTTCAACTATTCCAGGACAATAAGCAAACTGTTAATGACATAAGACAAACCCCAATACAAAAAAAGAACGATTAATTACTGATTAAAGTTGTTAATGTTGGACCAGAAGTCTGCTACAGTTTAGAAACTGATTTGGACCTGTATGATTAGAAAGGATTCGTATCTTAAAATGTGGTTGCACCTAATTCACGAAATGAACGTCATCGGTATTTTGGTATATATCAAATCTTCTTGTCCATTATAAATTTACAATAACAACGAACCCTTTTGTATACATATACAATGATTTAATTTAAATACAAAATTCATAGCAACTCATAAACACAAAATTTGTATCCTTTGGAAGAATGCAATAGGAGAAAGTTTTTCTTGTGAGAATTGTGAGGTATCCATTTATACTTATTGAAATTGAAAGCAGCTACCACAACAGTCATGTCGCAGCTCCAAAAAAAAAAAAAAAAATTTCTGCCTTAACTCCACAAAAGTCACGTGACAGTTGCGTTCAAGAGTTGTAAAGGAATGCCATAATTTTATGCATCTATTTAAAGTTACTATAGTAGATTAATTTAATTTTATGGATCAATAAATTTTAGGTATCTATTTTTGGAAGTAAATATTAGAATAAAAATTGATAAATCGGGCTAATTCCATAATTTTATGCATTTATTTAAATTTACAATAGATTAATTTAATTTTATAATCAGTTATTTTTTTATCATAGCAAAATACTGTTTTCTTTCTATACATTGTATGTACTCTTTTTTTTAGACATGTTGCCTAGGCTGATAAACTAGTTATAGTGACGAAATAAAAAAAAATACTAAAAATGAATCAGACATAAGAGGTCTGATTATATATTGGCATTAGCCTTTATGTCAACTCATATAATAAAATTCAGTACCAACATGGTCGAAATAAATGTTCTTTTTGGTTCCCCCTTTTTTCAGAATGGGGATCGAAATAAATGTGAAAATTGTATATACTCACATGCCAGAGGAGAAGAAGGTTCCTTTCCGGACCCCACACACATACAGAGACATATGGGATCTGATGAAGCTCTGAGTGTAGGACTGACTCTCAGAAATTGTATGTAAAGGACTGCATCTTTGGACTGATTCCCAAAGAAAAAGAAAGAAAGGGATGACGCCTTACCGTCCCATCCCTATTTTACCCAAATTCATTCCAGTCGTTATTATTATTTTTTTATTTTTTTTAAAAAATTATTATTGTACAAAAAAAAAATAAAATTATTTGAAGCGTTTGTCGTTTGTGTTGTAATTGCAATTGTGCGGGCATTGGAAGTCATATGAAGTACGATAAAAAACCAATCACCATCCATTCCTTCCATTGCGCCATGTCCATTGGGAAAATTGAGACTCTATTCAAGAAGATAAAAAAATACAAAGACGTTTTGCAATCTTCATTCCTTTTTATTGTTTTGTTTAATTTTCTTTTTATATGTGCATATACTGTATATATCTTCCTTTAACCAAGCTTCATACAGTATCCAAAAAAAAGGAGTTAAGACGAATAGCGTTTATTTCTTTTTTCAAACAATATTTATAGTCAGCTAGACAATTATTAGGGGAAAAAAATCACGAAGTTACATGCTTAATTACATCATTTGACAATAACATATCATCCCTGATCAGTGATAAAACAGTCGCTATACTTTTTGCTTACTTCATCTTGTGTGCCATTGACAATTTTTTTTTTCGTCTTTCAAAAACTCAAAATCTAATCCCAGAATGAAAAATGAAAAACTAAAATTTTATCAAATGCCTATCCTAGATCCTTACTAAGATGCACACCGGCTTAGATTAATGTACCTCAACAAATTAAATTATTATTCTCCCCGTTTCAAAAAAATAGTTCACATTGAGTTTGCAAATATGTATTGTATATATTTGTAAACTCAATGTGAATTATTTTTTTGGGATGGAGGTAGTACAAATTAGGAGGGTCGGAGGAGTGGTGGAGAAATATATCTCCCAGCGCGGTGGACCAAAAAGAAGGGAAAAAGGGAGGTAAATATTAATGCATCATCTCTAGTAGTACTCCCTCTATTTTTTTTTATATGTCTTTTTAGAAAAAGTATCAAAACCAAGAACACATTAATTAATATAGTTAAAATACAAAAATATCCTTATTTATTGTCTATACAATTCATCATAAATCAATAAAAATTCATTATAAATAATATTTCATTTCTAATGCAAGGGTAATATTGATAAAAAGTGGTCAAATATGTCTCGATTTGTGAAAACAACATATATTTAAAAAAATTCACCAAATCTTAAAACGACATATATTTCAAAATGGAGGGAGTACTGTAGTAGTGTAAATCTTTAACTAACTTTCTCTCTGTCTATTGTTGATAATTCATTCGATTGTGTTATGTTAATCAACTTAGTAGATTATTAATAGCAACCAGAGAAATGACACCCCAAAAAGAAAAGGAAAAAAAAAAGAGGGATTATACTTCAGATTTTAATATAAAGAAGAAGATTGTTATAAAATATTGGCCACAGTTCATTGAAACCGTATCTCGTCAAGGAAGAAGTCTTCTAGAATTGGCTGCCCATAAGCGTGGATTTGTGACAAAATTTGGGAAATGGTCCAACCCCTCCCGCGCTTGTCCGTTCCCCCCCCCCAAAAAAATTAATTAAATAAAAATAAAAAATTCCATGTTTGCTTATAAAAAATTGGAGTTACGAGTAACACAGGATTTATTTTACACCCTGAGTTTTGGATTCTTGCGGGGTGGCTCTATAAAAGGTAGCACACCCAATAAACGTTATAGCATTATTATTCTGCGTCTTCTTTCTTTCTCTCTTTGCTTACCAAAATCACTTTTTAGCCCACAACAAGAACAGAGACCCCCATTTCTTTTTTCCTTTGTAATTTTCCCACAACCAATCAATCCCAACTTAATTCACATGCCAAAAAGGGCTGTTGTTGTTGATTCCATGGAAAACATACTTGGGCTCCTCAGGATTCATGTCATCCGAGGTATAAACCTTGCTGTCAGAGATGTTGTAAGCAGCGATCCTTATGTTATCGTCCGGATGGGCAAACAGGTCAGTTTTCCCCTCTCTGTTTTTTGTCCTGATACGTTACAACTCTTAGATATAATACGTTTCTTCATTCTTCTTCGTACCGGTTTTTAACTTGGTCCGGGTTTTTATATCGTACTTGGGCTTGGTGTTTGTTTCTTGTATTTGTCGAATCGCTGGTATCAGTTATCGGACTGATTGGATTCAGTTACTCAGTTTGAGAACTGTGTAGAGTAGAGTGGACCCCTGAATTCTCTCTGTTTTGCTTTGACTTTCATTTTTTACTTTCTGTTGTACTTGCTGTAATAGTAGTTAATATCTATGAAAAACCATTACACCTTTTCCGGGATTTTTACCTTTACATTTTCGCCGGCCAGCCGGCCGATTTGAATATTCTTGTTAAGCTGTAGAGATAACCTATATTGATGGGATGTAAATGTAAATTAAAATCCAAAACTGGCTCCTTTTATCCAGAAATGGGGCGACAACTCTTATATACTAGTATTAGGAGGATACAGCTATTTTCTGATTGGAAATAGGAATGAAAGATATGGTCCCCTGTTTTTTTTTTTTTTTGACTTGAGTAAATTTAACCTTTTTGTTGGTGTGGAAATGAGATGGATAGTTTGAATTTTACAAAATCCACTCGCTCTTCTTTTGGGTTCATTTACAAGATTTTCTGATGGGTTTATTCGAATTTGAATGGGTGATGCAGAAATTGAAAACGCGTGTGGTGAAGAAGAATATCAATCCCGAGTGGAATGAAGATCTCACCCTCTCCATTTCTGATCCAAACAGCCCAATCAAGATAGTAAGTTACCTAACTTATTCTTTTCAAAGTATAGTAGTATGTGATTCTGACTTCTGACCTCTTCTGGTAATCTTTCAATATACAATAGTAATAATAGTCCATTAAAGTCCAATAATTTTGCACCCCAAATAACAAATACCATCTGCCGCAATATTCGCACCTAGTCAAAGTTTCTCAAATTGAAAATTGGGAAAAGATTTGGTTTTTAAATGGGCATTTCAGAAAGTTCAATTCCTCAAGCATCTATAAATTCTGGTTATTTAATTAGTACCCTTATGTGGAATTTTGCAAAAAGAAACAAAAATCTGTACATTCTTTGAAGTCAAAAAAGTGAAGATGCCGCATGCAATTATTAGCCCTTTTGGTTCTAATTCAATCTCACAACTTTTGCAGCAAGTGTACGATAAGGACACATTCTCTCTGGATGACAAGATGGGGGATGCAGAGATTGACATTAGTCAGTTCATGGAAGCTGTGAAGATGAGGTTTAAGAACATTCCCAGTAATACGGTGATCACTACATTGAAACCCGGTAGGCAAAATTGCTTGGCTGAAGAAAGCAGCATCATTTGGCAAGATGATAAGGTTAAGCAGCACATGTTTCTGAGATTGCAGAACGTCGAACGTGGTGAGATTGAGCTTCAGTTGGAGTGGATTGATGTTCCTGGTTCCCGAGGTCTGTAGATTATACTACAAGTTTACTAAACTGATCATTTAGACCATGGTGATGATGCAATGAATTAATGGTGTACAGTTTCAGTTGTTGTTGTAGTGCCAAAAATGATGAAAAAAAATAAGACCAAGGTTTTTTTTTTTTTTTTTTTACATATATATATATAGGTTACATAGTTTTACTTTTAGGGTGATGAGATTGCGAAAAGCTTGTTATGTTATGAATGCTTTTAGTTTTGTAGTGATTTTGCCGAAATTTTTTTTTTTTTGAGTGATGTATAATCGAAGGTTCGTCCAAACACCTCTTTTCTGCTTACATACGAGGTTTACTTAAAATACCATACGTCTTCTTTTTTTTTTTGTAAAAGGACCATACCTCTCTTAAGGTGTTAGTAACAAGGCCTACCAATTAAGGCAGTGGCGGAGATAGGAGACCAGCAAGAGGGGTGGTATCCTTATTCCAAAATTTTTATGAAGGAATGGTTAAATCTTTTTTAGTTTAAATTGTAGAAGATTATAATTTCGCCCCTCCTATACCGCAACATTGTCATGTCATCCCTCTTATTTGGAATTTGTAGTTCCACGTTAACCCCAAAAAGGAAAAAAAAAATATAAAAAAAATTTCTAGTTCCACAGCTGCCTTAAGGTGTTGGTGTGAACATAATTACATTTCAAGTACGACTGATTTTATGAACTTTGATGAGTCAGAGAATTTCATGGCACAATGCAAAAATACTTTTGGAATCTCAATTTGATATCAAGATTCAAAACTTTCATCAGGTACATGGCAATTGGCTAGTATTTTAGCCAGGGAATGGAGTGTGGGTATGTGTCATGCTTCAGTGGTCATTTAGAGTCAGTTAAATTGAAAAAGTTAGGTTGTAAATTTGATAACTCTAACTGTTAGGGTTAAATAGTAGACTTGGTTTACTTTACTGTAATGCTCATCGACGATTATGAAGAAGATGTACTGTACTGAACTCTGTTCTTCCCCCAAATTTCAATTTCCCCTTCCCAATTCATTGTCTTCTCATGATTTTGCAATTTTCCTTTTCTCCACTTAGTTCCCCTTTTCCTCTAAAATCTGACCTCTGTGTTCATGACAGAATGCATAAGAAATTTGCCACTTTCGAAACTCCGGGCCCTGGTCCAATGTCCAAAAGCCTATCTATAAAATTTGGTCCCTCATTTCTACACGGCCCAAAAAGCCTATCTGTTTTTTTATCTTTTTTTTTTCTTTGTCAAATATTACATCCATTCCAATTTAAGATGTAATGTCAACATAGCTGATTCTAGAGCAACACATAATGTAATTGAATAATGGAACGAAGTTAGGCAATTTGATTAAATAGGTTCAAAGAGAATTAATCGGTCCCCAGTTTAGAGATTACTCATCAAAACATGTTTAAGAATTTCAAGATTATCTGGCGAGAAGAAACCACCTGGTTTGACTAGGGATTAGTTCGAGCTGAATATGTGTCCATTTTAAGATAAACTCATGGTTTATGCATCTTCACAAAAAGAAACCAGAGATTAAGATAAATTCATAAATAAAATGTTCATGTACTTTGTTACGTTCCCGTGTACCTTGTTTTATTTGTTCAAACAGAGGGCAAGGCCTCAGGAAGCCCATGTAGCTATGTACTCTTTGAAGGTCTTATATAAGCCCAAATGATAGCAGGCCATTCTTTTTTAACTTTTTTGGAGGTGGTATTTAATCACTTACACGAAAACAAAAAAAGTTAAATTAAAATATTACCTCGTTCCCAAAAAATAGTCCACATTGAATTTTCTAATCTGTACTGAAAATAGTACAAAACTCAAAACTCAATGTGGACTATTTTTGTGGGACGGATGGACTATCATTTTGAGGTGGAGGGAATTCATTTTTCTTTAAATAATCAAAGAAATTAACAAAAAAAATAATAATTTTGAAAGAAAATATTATCTTAAATTTGCTGAAATCAGTTAAGTTAACCATGAATGATACAAGTAATTTGGTGGAGATTGTCAAGGTAATGAGATTGTACCTTTTTTTAGCTAGTCAACCTAATATTGAGTTCCAACATGTGCGTGAACACATGATTGTTTGGAGACTTAAGATCCTAAAAAAACAAAAAACAAAAAAACAAAAAAAAAAATCAATCTTAACTCGAATATAAAAATTAGTATGATTGAGTTAGGTATGCCTCCGTAATTCTATTCAAAATATCTCAGAATTCATGATGAAAACTAATTAAGAAAAGATACTAAGTAAGAAACTTACAGATTAATCTAGAAGACTAAAGAATTATGTAGTTATTTGGACGAAAAGAACTTAATTTGTTCCAAAAATGAGAAAGTCAGAAAACTGAGCTTTCGATGGAAAGTTGGTATGTCTGGATTATGGGGTCTCCGGCATGCATGAAGCTTTGATACTATTGGGGTTTGGTATGTTCCAAAAAAAACCTAATAAATTAACTCATAACACCGATCCCACCCTTACTCTACGTCCTGTCAAACAAAATCAATCAGGAAAATTGATAGGATGAGATGAAGGACCCCCCAACAAACGCTCAAAAATGCAATTCAGCCCCATATACTTGTCTTTTCTATCAGACCGACTCCTGTGGCTTCATGACATGTTGGGGAAGACTTTAAAAACTTGCTCAAAGTAAGGAAATGGAATGGTCACAAAAGTCTTCACTGGAATCTTACTGAATTATTAATAATCTTAATAAGTACGCCATAACATATTAATAAAAGTTAATATCGTCAAATCATCCTTAATTCGCATGGCTTTTTAAATAAATAAAAAAATCTATGATTATATTACACACTCTCCAATAGAAAAGTATCTCCAAATGACGACAGGGGATTTTTTACAAAAAACACTTAAAACATATTCTCTCTGTCCCGAAATATGTTCGGCTTAAATTTTCAGTTTCAGTTCAAAATATACTTAAAGTGAAAATTCAAATTGAACAATATACTTTTGGACAACGAGAGTAATATTTATATGATAAATCGATAGAGTGAAAAAAACTTTGTAAAACTTTTAGTTTAATTAATGGAATATATCAATTCTAGAGAAATGATTCTAGGCAAGCTGGTTATGCTGCCAGTGAATGTTACATGTCGAAGCATCAAATCCCATTGTAAGTATTTATAAGAGATATACCCATATTTATAAGGGAAAACTCACCTGAAGATTTTTTTTCTTTTTTTTTTTGTTAAATGTAATAGAATTAATCTTAGTCATAAAGTATGGTAAGTTTGTGCACATGAAATTAATGTATAACTCACTCTTTTTACATGCTAATGGAATTAAAATACTTTCAAAGGAAAAACGGAAAGAAATTATTGTCAAACTTTTTAGTAGTGTGCTGGTATGATTGGAAAAGAAGAGAAAACAAAAAATTAAAGGGGCTACAGTATAATTCTACAAAATACAGGGGGTATGTGTTTACCTTAACCCACCTTCAAAGACATGTGGCTCCGCTTCTATCATGCATGCACGGTTGGCAATCGAAAACCCACGTTTCTCCAAGTTGAACTTTCATTGTATCATGTGAAATCGAGATTTACCCTGTTTTTGGTTCTAAATATAGCCATTTTATCATAATTTTGATGACCAATTACGTGCTTCTACTTAAGGCTCTAATTCTGAAAGGCCGAATGCTCCTAATCTAGCTATTTAGTCATACTACATGCAGTACGTAGTAATTAAATTAAAGATGATAGTGATTTTATTATGATAAATGATATAAAAATTCACTCAAAATTTTAAGTATCTTCATATTAATCGACAACTAGCGAGTAATCATGCATCATTCACAGGCCAAAATTACTAGCATTTTTCGTTATGTTTATCATTTTTCTTTCTTGCGAACATAGTGGGAGGTGGGGAGGTTGTAGGATATGAGGATTATGAGTAGTACTCATGCGATGTCTTTAAGTTCGAACCTCCACAGTTTTGGTACAAATATGGGATGCTATATCAAAAGGTAGAGTGTGAGTTGTCATTAAACAAAAGTTTGCTATTGATTGGGGAATAAGAGGAAAGCTTGTAACTAAAAGATCCTGAGATTAATTATACCCCCAAAAAAAATAAATAAAAAAAAAATTAGAATAATAAATGATAAAGGCTAAGTGAGGAATCACATGCATTTTAGTAGTAGTTTGGTTCAGGAATAAATAAAGTAGGAGTAACAAAAATAGGATTAATCAAAAACACCACAATAAGTTAGTTTGCAAGTTGTAACATCAAAAAGAGTAAAGAAAGGGAACTCTTCCCACATCATCATTTAATGCAATGGCAAGGTGAACTATACATAGCTTTGTCTTGTTGTTTCCAATCACCCTCATGGATCCATTTTCTGATACCAAAATATTTCCCCACCTCACTATGCAGTGCCAAGCTAGCAGCTAGCGTGATTTTGATTTTAGACTTTTGATAAATGACTAATTGGACTAGTGGAGTTAGTCCATATATTTGATTGGAAAAAGGAACTTATAATTGATCCATATACCTTTTCCATTTCTACTTGCAGAAGTGCAATCTCCTGGTTAATGGTCATCAAACTTGCACGTCAGTAACTAAATTTGCAGCCATTTAATTCACCCCAATGGTCCAAAATTTCTACATAATTTTCTTTTGTCAGGAGCATGCAAGTGCTTATATAAACGGACAATCATTCTATTAAGGCATATGCTCATAGCGAAATCATATAAAATTTAGGTCATCACTGTCATATATAGTTACTTCACTTTTGTGTACCAGAAAAGAGAGAAACCATGCGTACTTCTTCAGGACTGAGAAAAGGGGCGTGGACTAAAGAAGAAGACATTCTTTTAAGAAATTGCATTGCCAAATATGGCGAAGGAAAGTGGCATCAAGTCCCTTCCAGAGCAGGTAATTAACGAGTATATATATATTAACCCGGCAATGGTACACATCTCAGGTTAATTGTTTTTTGTTTTTTATCTTTTCTTTTTCCCTCTAGGACATGTTCATCACGATCTGAAGCAACTTTTGCAGGGTTGAATAGGTGCAGGAAAAGTTGCAGGCTTAGGTGGCTGAACTATCTGAAACCAGATATTAAGAGGGGAGACTTCAGTTCTGATGAAGTTGATCTCATGATCCGGCTCCATAAGCTGTTAGGCAACAGGTTTGTTCTGTTTCACTCCATTATATGTCTATTCCGTCCTCTGCTGTAAAAAATAATATTCGTTGAGTTTTTTATATTTATACTAAAAATAATACAAACGTAAAAGTTCGCGTGGACGAGTTTTTTAAACAACAAAAGTATTAGTCATATTTCTCAACTTTTTTTTTCTCAACAAACGAGTCATGGTTTGCACTTTTACCCCAATACTAATATGTTTCTAAAGTTTTGAGCCCCTACCCAAAAAAAATAATACACATTAAGTTTTCAAATTTTTATTTTTTGATTTGTATGTATAAAGTTGAAACTTAATCTTGACTATTTTTTCGGGGATAGAAATAGTACATACAAATCTGAAAACTTAATATAAACTATTTTTTTGGTCTAAAGATAATACAATCTTATGATTATATATTGACTACGTCCCAAAATAATAATAATATGTGGTAAACTAAAATAGTACCATAAACTAGACTCTTAGTTGGGACATAGGGAATGAACGAGTTCCTGTTAGACTCTTTTAGGAGAGTACTTTTGATTTAATTGATCTTTCAATACATCTGGGTAGAAAGTTACACCAAATAGTAGTATACTTCGACGAGCTTTGATCGGACCATGAACCTGCTTTTATATATATATATATATATATATATGTAATAAAGCGTCTTTTACCATATGATGAGCTTTAATTTATTTTTTCTCTTCCGGTTTTTAGTATTTCAATCATTGCAAATATGCAATCATGTTACCCTTTTTGGAAGATGGTCCGAAACCCTCGCTCCCTTTCTAGTTCCTTTTCAGGTAAAAAAAGAAAAAAAAAATGGTGTCGGCTTCAGTATGAATGTGATGATTAATTTGGTCCCATTTTGATTGACCGTGCATGAAGTCCGTGACAGATGCATGATTCAAGAAAAAACAATTTCAGATAATTTATGTCATTGATCCTTCAACTTTGGACTGAATGCTTTTTTGGTACTGATTCCGCAGTGACGAATAAGACACATTGAACACTTTTAAGAGTGTATACACAACAGTCGCTTGCTATGGTCCCATTGTCGTTTGTATCTTTTGCTTAATAATTTAATTATTTGACTCTCGGCTGCTCTGTATTTTTTCTTATCAGTTGTTCGTTGGACAGTTTTCACTAAATTGATAAATTCACTTTTTCATCTCAAAACAGAAAAAAAAAAAAAAGGAAGAATAGATGCAACTTGTTCAAGAAGTAAAAATACCGAATTCGTAAAATTATTAGGGTATAAAACTAACTATTTCGAATGCGAATTAATCAAAGTATATTTTAGTGTCTAGTTTAATCTATACGAAATTTAATATTCTTTCTATCACTAAAAAATAGTCTACATTCAATTTTAAAATTTGTTTTGAAATCTCAAAACTCAACGTAGAGTATTTTTTATATATATTTTTGGAATAGAAGGAGTACATAGTTGTTTTCTTCATCATAGTATTTTTTTATATTTCAAACAAGCATGGTTTGCCCAATTTCTTTTTCACTCCGCAAAAATGGTTCTCATTAAATTTTTTTGGTACATTAAATTTTTAAATTTATATAGTTTTTAGTACGAATTTGAAAAATTAATATGAATTTATTATTATTATTATTATTGAACAGAAGAAGTATATATTATTTGTTTGGTAAAACATGAAAAAAGGTGAAACCAAATATATTAGATCAATATGATTCACTTCATTATATGTACACCATTTTTTTAAAGCATTAAGTAGTTTTCCCAAGTCTTTCAATGGATTACCATTTTTATGAACGAGAAAATATTCAATGCCATTCTCCAACTAATCATCTTATATGCTTTAACAACAGATGGTCGCTAATTGCTGGTAGACTTCCAGGAAGGACTGCAAATGATGTGAAAAACTACTGGAACACTCATATGCAGAAAAAAATGGCGGCTAGAAGAGAATTACCAAAACAAAGCTTAACGCCGGCGGCCGCCTATAAGGTTAACAGATCAGGAAAGACCACAAGACAAACAAAAACTAGCAGCAACAACGTTCTAGTAAAACCTCGACCTCGGGCCTTCTCCAAGAATATTATTAACAACAATGTTCACAGGATAATCAACAGCAAGAAATCAGCAAGCAACCTAGAAACTCCGATGAGGAAATTCGACAAAAAAACCGGCAACGATTCACCTCTTCCGGCACCCATTACGTCAGCTCAGCCCGAGAGTGGTAATCATAATATTAATACTACCCCCAGTAGTAGTAATATACAGTTTTGGCTGGACAACTTGTTTTCCGACAAAGATCCGGCGGCAGCGACGAACGCCGCCGTGAGTACTAGTCCTGCCGGCGACGCCTGCTGGTCGTCGTTGGGTGACGGGTCGGGATCGGTGGAAGAAGATATGACGGCCGGGTTATTCCAAGGCGGGGAATTGTCGGAGCTGCAAGCTTGTGTAAAAGATGGCGCCGAATGCAACCGAGAAGCTGGTTTATTTGGGTCCAATTTTTTCTCTTTTGATTCCGAGTTTTGGAATTTTCTAGTCTCGGATGCATATGTTGTAGATCATTAGATTTCATATCTTGCTGGTATAAAATAATTCCTATTTTCCATTTAATTTTTAGTACTCCTTCATTCCACATGAGTTGAATTTGTTATAAGTACTACTCTCTCTCTGTCCCAGAAAAATAAGTTTTAGTACTCCTTCATTCCACATGAGTTTAATTAAAAAAAAAAATTTGTCCCAAAAAAGTTTCATATAAGTCAAAATTAATTGAATTGAAATGATTTAAATATCCAAAAGAATAGTGGTAAGGAAAACAAGGTCCACTCCCTTTGATTTTCATTCTTTTTAGTTTTCTCCCATTTTTCAAATAATTATATCTTTTAATGCATGAATAATTAAAAAATATATTATATATTAAATTAATATATGTAATGAGATCTTTCCATCTAGATCCATTGTCAATATTTTTTGAGATAAAAATTTTGATCAAATTTAAGTTGTAAAATAAATACATATGTAGTTAATTTTTATAGAAATAACTAGAAAGGACATTACTGGAAGTCAAGGGCATAAAATGAGTTGTACATTTGGTGTATTGACCAAATTAAAAAAGTTATACATTTTCAAACTGGATTATTTTTCTGAGACGGATAGATTATTTTAATATAACAAATATGAATTTCGCTGTGAAACATGTAGGCGTTGATATCTATGTTATATCCAAAAAATTTCTAGTATAAAACAAATAAAATTTTGTGTAAGGACAATTTTTTTTTTTTTCCCTTGGCTCCTTTCATTTATTTTAAAGATAGAAATGTGCAAGAGAGCGTGAGAAAAATTCTAAGAGAGTTTTGATGCATATTGCTTTTTACGTGTAGGAGTGGAAGACAAGCGACCAAAAAACCTAATCATGAAATTTTCTCCGTGCTGATGATGACGTAGATGTTGGACCTTAGGAGTGTTACACTTTTGGAATATATGATGCATTTTGTCTCACTCCGCACCGGTATTGATGCATGAACTTTTCAATTTCGTGTCATATATACGTCATAAAGGATCAACTGAGCTTTATTTCTCTATTTATATTTCCCAGCCATACTTAACAAAGCGATTAATTATACACCAACAGTGAATACCATTTGACATAAACAAAAACGTGTATTGTATTATTACACATAAATGTCAACCAAGCCACCTAATTTAAAATAATCTAATTGCTCCGTTGTATACCTAAAATAAGAGTGATGGAGAACTTCCGGCACCATTTGGATTCTTGTCTTATATCGACTGTATTTTGTGATGTCAACTGCGAGTTTTGATAATGGTTTTAAAAATGCGTTTAGATAAAGGAGAAAATTTTTTCAAGTGACTTTTCTTTTTCCCTACAAGATGGAGAATCTATATATATATATATATATATATATATATTAGTACATAATGAAAATAGCTTACTTCCCATGAAATTGGAAGTTCGCTTAAGTTGGAAATAAAAAAAATAGATTTAATCGTGATTACAGTATATATTAACCGTAGAAGATAACTTTATTTTAACTTTCTGCAACAATTTTTTAAAATAAGTATTCTGATAATGAAAGCTCAAATAAAGTCCAAGTTATCCTAGATTACTCATATTCTAAATCTTATACAGGATTTGTTAAATATTGTTATATTTAAACCACATCACAGTATATAGTTCAAAACTATGTTCAATGGGTTGCTTTTATATTTTTTTTTATTCAATACGAGTTTATGTTCAATGCAAACATTCCCAATGGATATGGAATGGAGTACTTGTGCATAGTGAATAGTGATTACTTGAGAAGTTTTAGCTTATACTGTATATTTAGGGGAAATTTTAGATATCTTTTTAGGACTAAGCGAATATATATAAATGTATCTTTCAATGCAACTACTCTTATATTTTTCGATAATTTTTATTTTCATAAATAATACAGAAAAAATTTTACAAACGTGCGGGTCATCCACTAGTATATATAATACTACTATTAGTTTCTTAAAGAATTAGAGGGGAAGAAAGAAACACAAAACTTTCAAAATCAATGGATGAAAGCACAAAGCCATGTGTCCCCATCTTTTTCATTTCAGTGTGGAATTAGTAGCGGAAGGCTGGAAGGAGAAGAAGATTTTTCATTAGGGAGTTGATTTTTGTATAGAAGAGTGTGGATTCTGTCTAGTGTCTACTCAGTTGCTCTGTTGTTTTTTGTTGCTGTTGGTAGATTAATAACTACACAAAAGATATTAGTCATTCGTAAGTCTAGGAGGACTGGCTTTTTTAATTGTAACCCAAATAAGTACGTGATATTAACTGATCAACAATTTTAACTTTATGCACAATTGTTTGGAAAAACGCAACTGTATTGTCTGCAATTACAAAAGCAATTCGTGATTTGTGTCTTGAAATTAAAATCACCATAAAAATATGTGGTTTCGCAGTCTCCAACAAATAAGACCAACAATTTAACCATTGCAATTGTTTGCTCTATGTGAGAGTAAGGGTTGAAAATTGTAATCATAAAAGAAAACTTATATTATATGCAACTCAAGAGAGATTTTGAAAGATACTATTTCAAAGGAATACTCCACAATTAGTTTTTAAATTTACATTAAAAATAATATAAACATCAAAATTCAATGTAGACTATTTTTTGAGACATGAGAGTATTTTTTTACTATTGGTTTTCTTTAAAAGATACTTAAACATTAACTAATATTTCATTGTGTTCAATGCGGTGTTTCAAGAAAGCATGATATATATCCATCTCACGATTCTTGAACTAACTCCAAAAAAAAAAAAAAAAAAAACTCTTTCTTCAGCGAAGATTAGTTCCCTTCTTCACCTAATTGGTGTCTAAAAAAATCATAATAATGAATGACCGTTTACTTTGATTTTATTATATCTTAAATCAAAGTTACTGGTCTTTATTATAAAGATATTTTAAAGGTTTCACTTGGTCCTATTTATAAGACATTTCATGTGTTTAAGGTTTTATTCATAGTGTATTTTATTCCAACTTTAATTGGATAAATTTTAATTTGATTGGTTCCTTGAAGTGTGGAAACATTTTTAACATGAATAATATAGGTGATTCACCAAAAAAATAACTGATTTAATTATTTTCTTTAATTATTAAAAATTAGTTATTTGTGTCTTAATTAGATTAAAGATGGGAGAGAGTACTCCTTATATTTAATTTTAATAGTCTTCTTGGTTTTTTTATTTTAATTCAACAGAATGTATTATTTTTCTACAAAAAAAAAGTATTAAAACAATATCAAAACCTAATTAAAAACAGAAAATGTTGCTTCTTTTTTTTTTTTTGAAATAAGAAAACCATTGACACTTATTAAACGGATTATGAGAGTATCTCAATCATTTGACTCCCGTTCATTTCATTCAGGTCCCATCCATTAATTTCTACACAAGGATAATACATAATCGAATCCAGACTCAGAATAATCATTTGATTACATCCCTAATAATGCACAACACACTGTCCTACCAAAGGTCATTGAGCAATGTCGCATCACTTACAACATGTGATCCTTGTATCTCATGTCCCTTGATATTTTATTGATCATAATTTGTTCTATTGTCCTTTCTTTGAATCTATTATTACCATTTTTTTTAAAAAAAAAAAGAGGAAAAGAATATTCTTGTACTGTATAGTGAAGAGACGAATCATTTGAGATTGAGAAGCTAAGGTTGCGGGGCTCAAAGTGACTAACGAAGGATTTCTGCTGGTTTATGCTTGGCCATATATATAAGCTGCACATCGATCCTATGGTGTAAGTCGCGGTTACAAAAAGTGATGTCATTAATAAATCATACGTACCACCCAAACTGGCTTCTTTTGAAAGAGAGATCTTTCTAAAATTCGAACGAGAATTAGAGTAAATGTAATGATTTCTGTATCAAGACACCAACTTTTTCGGGTTTAAGTTTGATTGATCTCTAAGTTGACTTTTTCAGGAAAAAAAATAAAAAAAATCTCTCAGTAGAAATTCATTTAAAAAAGAAGTTACTTTGGTTAGCTTATAGCATGAACATGATAGCTAATCATGTGGACAGTCTCATACTACGCGATTATTAAAGTATTTCACTTCTATCTTGTTAATTAGCTAATCATGCTAGCTAATCATTTGATGATTATTTTTTAAATTAAAAATTATATAAATTATTTTTATGATTCAATATGTTGGTGTTTATTTTAATATAAAAAAATACAAATAAAGCCCATGATAAATATATAATATTGTATGATGATATTTAATTAACTAAAAAATAATTACATAATCAAAAATAAATATTTTTTATTACATTAAATTCATAATAATACTATTATTTTCTATTATCATGGTTTCACATGGATCATTTATTTTTATAGACAAAATTATAAGTCAAGATCTTAATAACTTAATATTTCAGTGTTCAGATTTTAGATTTTAGATATTTTTCCAATCTTCGTATTTTGATTTATATCAAATAAGACAAAATTAATCAGTTCAATACTTATGGTTCAGTCTTCAAATTTTAGATTTAAGACTCCAAATTACGTTTATCAGACCAGGCCTTAGACTTTTATTTGTACGAGAAATTGTATTATAAATAAAAATTTAAACAGAACAATCATTTTTGGACAAATAGTGTATTAGGATTGGATAATCTTAATGAAAATGTATACAACTAAAAAACATGTATTGAATAGTACTCTGTATTAAAAATATTAATGTTAAAATGAACACTTTGTTTCTGTGTTTTCGTGTTTTGAGTGAAAAAAAAAAAAACTCAAGTATATAAGCTTAACATACAGCGCCCTTATTCTTTTCATTTAATTGAAACCCTCGCTTGCTTTCGTTAATCGTTATCATATCAGGGTTTGATTGGGGTAACCAATCACGACAGGTTACAGGTTTGTCCTTTATGAGTTGACGATTACAACTTGCCCGCCATGGACCATTGCTATATTGTATCTTTTCTTCTCAATTCAATTTTCTTGTTTGCATTCAACACAGAACTCTGAAAAAGGGGACAAAAAAAAAATTGTTGCAACAAGAATCAAACCCTATATATCATAGTAATACAAAACTTAAGCTTATTAATCATTGTTATTAATGTTGAAAACAAACCTATATAGCAACAAATACGATTATC